TCCTCTGTTCCATTTATTCGTTTTGCACATACTTCTCTCTCTCTCTCTCTCTCTCTCTCTCTCTCTCTCTCTCTCTCTCCTTCGCTCTCTCTTTCGCTCCACCCCTCCCTCCCCTGCCCGCGACCGACCGCGGGGCAGATTGACAGCTGCTTGCTTGTTAGATTTCCACTGATCGATGTGGATGGGCTGACGTTAATGATTTCCTTTAATTGCTTGTCGGACAGACGGGCGCACGTCTCTGTTAGGCCGGCTGCAGCTGCCACCGCTCACCGCAATGCGAGTGCAGGAAACGCGAGCGGACGACCAAAACAATTTGGGTTAGACGCAATGAGAAAGACAAATAACGTTTCGTTTCTTTTCTTCAGTTCTTAATGATTCTCTTAATTGTAAACCTTGGCTCTTAAAACAATTGCAAATCGGCGTTGGTGTAAAAGTAACACATCCTATATCCAGTTGGATGCTTTTATAAATAGAGTCTTGGCTGTGTGCAGTGCACAGAGTATCGGAATTGTCAAGTAGGCTACCTTTTACGCTAATTTGTTTTTCGGCGTCACGTAATCAGTTTTGCGCGGCGGTGTGGCCTGCCCCCGCCGGCACGCGTGACCCCCGCGCCTAATTACAGTACACAATCGGTTGGCCACCGTATATCCGCCGCTGCGCGCGGTGCAGGTGAGCCGGGAACGGCAAATAAAGCGCAAAAGTGCAAAAGCGGCTCCCGGGCCGCCCTGCCCTGCCCTGCCGCCGCCTCACCCCTTGCTGTGCCGCGCTGCCGCGCTGCCGCGCCACGCACTCCTGCAGTGGTGGGGGGTCCGCGATGGTGGCGCACTCCGCGGCGCTGCAGGCAAGCGCGTCCCCGCCCGCCCCTCCGCCTCCCTCGCTGCCGCCGCCATCTTGTCTGGGGCAGTTAGCGGATAGGGTTGCCAACTCTTCCAATTTATAGCAAGATCGGTTTATCAGGTGCTCGCGAGGACACTTGGGTTGGTTGCGCGGCGGGTAGCGTTCAGGCGCTCTGAGGTGGTCATCCTCTGTTCCATTTATTCGTTTTGCACATA